TTTTATCACTTCATGATTTCTTACTCAAAAGTAAGTATTTTTCAATTACATCTTATTTTAGGTATTAATATATCTTCTAAATTAAAAGACATAAGTAAAACTTGCCTCAATTGATTTTATTTGTTTGCTCCTTTCTCGACCACCTCTCATGATTATATTATCAAAATTCTAATTTAATTAAAAGTACTATTAATATCTTGATAATTAGACATATATTAAATTTATAAGTAATCATTCTGTCAGGTTGAGTCGCCACCTTGTATAACTAAGTAGATCAAGACCACAATTACTAGAGATTACGAGACCATGGGATCTTGATCGTGTTCGTCATCATTTGCCCAACCATTTATTTTAAACTCCAAGTGATAAATTTTACAACTTAAATTATATGTTGTTGTTACTATTTAATATTCATTTCTCAATGACTAGCCTTAATCAAAAGTGCTCTCCTGTCAACAGAATAAGTAACTATAAGAGCTTGCACCTATAGAAAACCTCAAACCCCAAAACAAAAATTTCTCACAAAATGAGGGTCAAATCTTTCGGTAGTGTCTTATCTATGATCTATTATACATTCTAAAAATTTAACCTGAATGCTCTCTCAATGAAACAACAAAATAGAGAGTCTGGGGAGTCGTCAAATTTTTGGAGCTCACAGATTTCTGTTGAATCTGCTAGAGAAGGTTCACTTTCCATCACTGTGTAATCATCTCTTTACCATAATAGCAACTTAAATTAGCAAGAGAAATAAAAAGATAGAATTGCTTTCAAATATTGCAATCACTTAAAGCTTGAGTAAATTTATATATGGTGAGCATTAGAGCATGTCCTGTGGATTTCAATTCAGGAATATGTCAATGAAAGATTAAAAAATAAACTTTGTTCGGTGGACATTGAAGTATGACAATTGGATCTCAATCTAAAAGAATTGCCAAAAGGTCCCAATAGAAAAATGAAATTTGTCTGGTGAACAACGAGATATAACCCATGAATCTTAGCCCAGAAATTCACTGCTAAAAGGTCCCAACAGAAAAATAGATTGTTTGGTAAGCATCGAAGTATGGCTTGGATCTTAGTCTGGGAATTTACTATCCAAAAGTCCCAACAAAAGCAGAAATTTTGTCTAGTAAGCATCGAGGATTACCTTGGATCTTAATTTGAGAATCTACTATCGAAAGGTCCCAACAAAATGGCATGTATACATGAAGATCACTATCTCATGATGAAATTTTGTGTTAATGAGTTGAGGGATATGACATATAATGTTCAACCACAAGAATGTCAATGAAAAGAAATTCAACAAGACCGAATTTCAGAAGAAGATATTACTACTAGAAAATATCACTTTGATTGGCACCCTAATGTTTTATCTTGCTCACAAAAGATAAGAATACTCTCTTATGAAGAATCCCACTATTCATGGCTAATATCTAATTTGATGGTTTGGAGATTCTCATCGTTGTCGCTATGGTCATTATTATATCTGTTTAGAGCAACATCAAAGTAGTTCAGTATGTTAAGGTACTAGCACATTCATCTCAAGCCACAATTAAAAAAAAAGTCCCAGTTACGAAGAAAAATATAATTAGACAGAAGATTTTATTGGTTCTTACGAATATAACTATTGGGATATTCGACTTTTTGCATCAAGAAGAGACGATGTTGAAGCTTCTTCAGCAAGAATAAAACTATGTAGAAGGCAAAAAAGAACGTAAAATAATGAACTGAGAGCTCAACAACTACAACTCTAGCAATCGATTGTTCAATAAGCTCTAGTCACAGATGTGAGTATTCATACCCACAGCCAATTCAGAAGTCTAAAATGGGTTAAAATGAATAGCCTACTCGTGACATTGAAAAATCTTTTTAGGGCTTAACAATACTAAATCATTCTTTCTAAAAATAACCAGCCTAAAACTTTGTTTGCTAAAGCACACAAGATTTTCAAAATTACCAAAGAAATGATAATGAAGAGAATATGTTAAGAATTTATGGTGATTGAGACCAACAAGTACCAATCAGGAAGCTACTATCTTCCATCTACTCTGATAGCTCAAGATTCATGAAAGTAAAACAATCAAAGACAGATTTGGCGTGATATCAAACTTATAAGATGATTCTAAATATCAGAGGTTCTTCAAAGCTTGCTCAGAATTCAAATTTTAAGTGAGAAAATTTATGAAAATCTACAAGATTTAGCCAGTTATCATGATGTATAAATCATCTTCTGCTCAAGTCTAAGACTCAAACGGAGGTCGGACTCAACAAGCTGAGATATGGCCAAGTTATTGTGTTTTCTCTCACTCAACAAGTCATGGTCATAATGAAGAGCCTCATTTGTCAGTTCGACAACAACAAAAAACAAAACTGTTGTCACTTAAGATTAGAACTTTGAGGGAGATTAGACTCATCAAGCCAAGATTTGGCCTTGTTGTTGCCTTTTCTCTTTATTAAAAAGCTGAAGGTCAAAGTAAAAAAGCCCCGTTTGTTATTGTAACGACAACAAAAGCCCAAAATAATTTGCTTGTCAAATCTAGGACTCAAACGGAGGCTGGACTCAAAAAGTCAAGATATGACCTAGATGTTAGCATTTCTCTTCACTTAACAAGCCCAGGCCATACCGAAGAGTTTTGTTTCTTTATTGATCATATTGTTATGAATATTTGTAATTATCTACTCTCATGCATTTGGTGTATGTTTTATGTATAATATTAAATTGAATGTACTGAATACATGAATGATATGTTTATGCTAACTACTTGTATGTGTATGAATGAGTACGATAAAGTCACTATTTGATGGTACTAGTGTGGGAACACTAAGGTACTCGTGCATGTATATAAAAAAGGATCTTGATATTGACGTATCTTAATTGACATAATTTTTAGACAATGCTCATGAGATAGTTGTACAAATATAGTATAATATTGATATGTTACTAATATAATAAAATTTTTTGAATAACATCAAATATGTTTTATTGAATTATTAAAAGCTTCACTGGCATACATATTACTACTTTTTTCTCTTGTGTTATTGTGGTTTAAGAGTATGAGTATTCACTGCTTTTTTAGTTAATTGTTATTTTAAACTAATTTTTTAGGTTAATTAAGTAAAAGATGAACGATAAACAAGAAAACGTTTAAAGTGGACGTAGATAACCAATAAAGAGGCAATTTTAAATATATCATTTTAATTTAACTTGAATGGTGGCTCTTTCATTTGTTAAATTGTAGATGAATATAGAAAATTTATTTTGCACCGTCCGACCGTCTTAGTTAACTTCAAGCCTCGGGTCAGGTCGTAACACATGATTTATTCTCTTTGAACTTCAACAAAGGCTTCCCTAGTGATAGCGAGAGGCTTCATCCCCGTGATTCTTCCTTTTACCTCGCTAAGTTCTTATTTAGGCTCAATAAGAACTTGAACATCCTCTTCTTCTCCACTATTGTTTTATATATCATGACATTTTGGGGACACTTCCATACATATGTATCATACATATCTAATTGTAACCAGTATCTGGATAGTGTTTTAAAGTACTAAGTCACTTAACTCTTCTTGTTGGAGCTCATGCACTTTTGTTTCAATCTCAAATAATTGTGCAGTATTTTATGTACTTGAATAAGTTTCACAAGTTGCTTCCCAAAGATGTTTTCTTGTAAAGCAAAGGATTTTATCAAGCTTTTACGGTCATATAATTAATCAACCAAGACATGACCATATGATCCTGGATCTTTCATGAACGATGGTTAGGATTAGTGAGCTCAGGAATTGTGTCATATCTGGTAAGATGTTTCTCTCATCCTTTTCCATTAATGTAAATAAACACAGATTGGGGCAATTGAAATAAGCTATGTTAGTTGAGTTTATGTTTTCTGATAAAAGTTGAGAGTTTTGAGGCTGATTGGACAAAATTCCTTGCCTCTGAGTTAGAACTAACCTCCAAGGTAGAGCTAGACATCTTCATTCCATAAGGTCCATACTTTGTCACAAAACCTCTCCACATTTCGTGATAAAAAAACTGACTAGATGCTGCTCGTCGAAGGGATGGTTTGCAGGAAAAAAACATAGCGGCTGCCGGGGGGATTCCGATAGAGGGCAGACAAGAGATCGGAGGAGAAAAGATAGCTGTGGGCCAGCAAGTGAGGGCTGCTGAAAAGACAGCAGCAGTTGCCAGTAGAAGGGTTGTAGATGTGTAGATGCAGAGATTCACACTCACTAGACGGCTATTCCACCATCTGGCAACTGACTGAAGAGCATGACAATGGCGTTCAAACAAAGGGAAGGCAAAGACACATGCATTCGAACGATCTGATTGCCAACCTAAGACTATCAGGTAGAGGCAGCAACAGAAGCGTTCAAACCAAGGGAAGGCAGGAGCAGAGGTTTTCAAACCCAACGGCATTTGTGATGGACCCAGCAGCAGAAGAGTTCGAACTGGAAGCAAGATGACCACAGAAACAATAGTTTAGGCATTGATAACATGAAGGAAAACGTTAGAGAAAATTCTCTTATTCCTCAATCTTCAAATTACAACTTCTCTCATTATATTGAGAGTAAACTTTATGGCAAACAAAACTCCTATAATTACAACTTACTCAAGATACAACAAACACATAAAGAAAGGACTACACATAATATTAGAGAGATAAATGAGAATAAATCTAAATGGGAAACACAACTCCACAATATGCTTATAGGCTTTGTAAAGAGACATAGGTGGAATATAAGAAAACCCCTTTTGCTACTGCTTTTGTTCTTTTCGCTGTTTTGCTGTTCCAGTAGTGTCGTTCCCACCAACTTGCTAGTTGATGATCAAGAAATTATTCATGTCATTCAAATCAACCACTTCAAAAGTACGCCAACACAAATCATCAGATATTTCATTAACTGTCAAGCTATCCAGTGCTTCATCAAATAAAAAACCTATATCTAGAAAGAAAGAGAATGTCAATCTAAGAAACAATCCCAGCAGAAAAAAACCTAAGCTTGTAAACCTGATGTAGAAGCCACACAGCAATTCCAGCAAACTCTAGAACGCCAATGTAACGATCAATCCAACTGGCATCTTCTGGTGCATCTACATTCCGAACAGGTGCACTGAGGATCTTGTTTTTGGATAAAGTATCCACTGCATCAGACAAACTTGCATCTGAAGGTATCTCAATTTCTGAACGAAATAAACATTTCCAAATTAAACCATCAGTCAAAAAAAGTTCATCCAATGATAAATCATTCAATAATAGATCATTCAATAATAGATCATTCATGCAAAATTTGCAAGAAAAAATGCTAGCAAAAGAACAGCTGATTGTGCAACCGTATTAGTATCCACTGGCAATCAAATGGTAAATACATACAAATCCATTATATATGACCAGGTCACTGATGAGAAAGGAGAGTGCATTAATGTCAACAAATGTTTACCTAGAGTATTAACGGTATCTGCTTAATTTTATTTCAGTTTCCTGCTTTCGATTCAAGGGAACCATATGTATAGCAAGACTACCACCGGCACCTATATGGTTTACTAAAATGGAATGTATGAGCAAAATAAACATGGAAAATATTAGTAAATTTATTTTGCAACAAATTTTAGAAGAAAGTAAAGTGCATCATCCACTTTAGTTAAACCAAACACAAACCAAATACATACACAGATTAATTAATAGTCAACAAATGGTTTGTGTTTAGTTAAACCAAACACAAACCCCACATACAGACGCACACAATTTGAGTACTATTTGAAATTTATATAAATAACAAAATATTTTTAAACTAGAAGGGCCCTACTACACTCAGATTAAATTCTTTCATTTTTTAAGTTCACCAGAGCTGGATTCATAACAAAAATTTAATCTTGGAGTTCAGCTCGAGTCTGGTTACCACAAACAAAATCAATTTTCCTCCCAACCACATAGAGTATGACTTTCCTTGTTCATCTACAAATAAAAGCCCAAGGGTGACAGGAGCTCGTAGATGGTTGAGCATTAAATGGTAATTGACGCATAGCTAACATCTGTTAAAGTGGCAATCACAATAGCCGGCAAAGAGTTGCGAACCCAGAATGCTTGCAAAAAGACAGTTACAAATTGAACTCGAAGTACAGCTAAGTTAGTTAAGTGGTTAACTGCATTGGCAAGCTCGTTGCAACTGAGTAACTGAATATAATGCTTTATGCGGACAAATGTAAATAAAGCATTACATGGTTGAAACAGGACAGCAAAGATATACTTATTGCATTTTCAGCTCCATTTTTCTTTCGTTTTTCTTCTGGAAGAACATAGGTCCCTGATTGAAAGCCCTGTTGAGAAAGTAGCATAATATTGGTGCTATCGTTGTTCATACAGTGATCAAGGAGGTCCAACGAAGAACCACAAAATATTACAACTCGTGAGTCAAGGAACAACAATTTAAAGGGAGTGACCTGATCCTAAAAAAGGTTAACGCTGCAGCTTGCAATCAGACATCTGTAAAACTTGATCCTTCATAGAATGAACCCTACATATCAAAGAACAACTTGGTCTAGGTGCATACAAGCTAATCACCTATCTCGACAAGAAAGTCCGAAGAACGTGGAGTGGGAATGATCTTAAAATATTTATCTCTAGGAAGTGGCGATTCGACCACACTTGTATATATAAAATAAAATCATTGTGCACAAAAAAGAAAAAGAAGGCTAAGTACTCTGATAACCTGCATAAACTCATTTTATAGTGAGTACACATAGTAAAAACAAAATATACTTTCTTAAAAAAAGTTCTTACAAACTAAGCTCTAAATAAATTATTATAACCAAAAACAATAGGTATATAGCTAACGAATAATCGACTATCTTCTCAAACGAATTAGAGCCCAAAGGCAGCAAGAAAACCAAATAAGAGTAGCTTCCAAGCCCCCAAGGAAGTAAGATCTGAAGGAGAGTCAAAATTCTCTCGAGTGGAGGCCAACATATACCTCATACAACAATCTTTTTTTTCGAAAAACTAATAATTTATGATGGATATGGCTTAGCAAACAAAATCAGTAAAAAGTATATTAGCTATTATTAGAACCAAAACTGGTAAGCTAGATACTTATCTTTCACTTTCTTATTTGCATTTGACACCGTGGAAGTGAGTTCTAGTTAAAAAGGCAATGGACTCCCACAGATTCAAAACATGAATCACCTCATTGAACTGTCTCTAAATTTAACCTTGAGGAACTTGCTCATGGTTTGAGCTCGGGAAACTCATGCTAAATTTATGATAAGGAAACTCGCTCGAAGGTTCAAACTAAATTTGTAATAGTAAAAGATAAGACACTTTACACAAATTGAATCATAAAAGCAGATAGCAACTCAAAGATTCAAAAAATTTTATTCATATAATAAAGAATACTTTACAATAAGAATAACTCAACTTGAGTTTACATATTACAAACTAACACACATAAACAGATAAAAAGTACAAGGTTTGTGTTACTCATTTTTTTGAGAAATCGGAAGCTCTTGCAACAACAGTACTTAGGCTTCCCTTGTCAGAGAGTTGTCACAAGGTCCCTTGGTTACTAGATAAAATGCCCTGAGAAGGCAAAAGTGATCCCATCGAACGTTCCCTTTCCTCAATTGTTTCCATAGCCGTAAAAGTAGGCTCAAGAAATGCTCCAAATATATACACAATAAGAGGCGAGAGAACGAGAAAGACCTCTCATCAATTGGTTCCAACCAAACAGAGGAAATGTACGTGAAACCCCATTAAACACCTATCCTCAACCGCGTAAGAACACCATGACCTCAAAGGCACCTATTGTCAAAGTTTTGAGAAAAATAAACTGAATTTTGAATAGGCTCAATTGCCTTTTCCCTTTGCGCTCATTCCATTAAATAATAATCTTACAATATATTTTAGGTACAAAATAAAGTGCATTATCAATTTTAGGTAACTTAATAATACATATTCATAATCTGAATATTCAGCTAAAAGAGAAATAAATCAGAACAAAAATATTGAAAATAATTTAAATAAGGAAGCTCCCAATTATAGAAAACTCCTAATTTAGCTATCTGATTGTCTTCCTTTCTAATTGACACCCTAATGAATCTGAACAAACTGGTAAGTTCAGATTCAACGCATCAAAGTCTCCCTACTTCAGATATCAAATAATAAAAGGACTACATCTTGCCAAGTAGGGTCGATGATGATAGCTTACTTTTTCTATTGCCTTAAGCTGATCCGATTGCATCATCTTCATTTATCAGCCTTTCTTTACTCGGCAAGAATATTCTAATTGAATTTATTCTGAGTAAATGTCACAGGACCCTCTTTCACTCTATTTATAGACCTCTAAAAGAAGTGTTATCGCGAGAACCGCAAAGAAAGCAACAAAATGAGTGTCGCATTTTCATTTAACCTCATAATTGCATATTTATTCTTATATATTAAAATTACTATTACTGATATTATTCAACACAGGTAAAATTCAAAAAGGGGATAGTAAAGCTTCTCCTTTTTAGTAAATTTGTCAGCTACTCTTATTCTGGAAGTCCCTCACATGTCCCAATCGTGACCTGACAAAGCGCATCAACATGGGCCGGCAAAGTCACGGGTCAACTTACTTATTCTACAATAAGAAGTGAAATATTATTTAGCTTTCATTTTCTTGTTGATTTCTATCTCTATTGTTCTAAGCAACGTCGAGTAAGATTTATTCCTTATTCGGTTAGGTGAGATCATGCGAGCTCAAGCAAGTTGTTTATCTTTCTAATCATCAATGTTCGAGGACAATTCATATCACCTAATAAATAGTAGATACTTCTAAAACAAAGGTCAAAACTAGGTGGACCGACTTCCCCTGTTGCCTAGAAGTGCAATGAGTAGTGCATGAGTCTTCCCCTAAGGTGAATCTGGTCAGGACTTCACTGCCAATGATGACAAGATCCGTTGTAGGTTTTAATGTTACCAATCCAATATGATGACTTAACTAAGAATCATTACTTTTTACTGAATTGATAAAAATCATAAGACTTGAACAAATTGTTTCATACTAAAAATTTATGCAAATTATAGTGATTAATCACACAACTAAGACAAAAAATGCGGCATATCCAAAATTGTATATAAAAATAACTAATCAGGTAAATTACTTCAAAAAAAAAAAAACAAAAATGTATAACAAAAATGTATATGCCCTTAAATTGTACATGTATAAAGAAAAAAAGAAGCAATCAATCATTTGTGGAAGACATGTCATGTTTGTCTTCTTCATTGTTGGGCTCCTCAATGAGCTCCATACAACAATCGAAGTCATTACAGGATGGAGACAAAGATTCTTTCTATAACAGAGCACTCAATTAAGACTTAATCATTTTCACATAATGGTCAGCCAACAACTTGTACTTTGGCGTTAGTTTTAACTCTTTGAGGAATTCTTCCAGCATCCACCTTTCCTTAATCTGCTTACTAAAGCTCGTGACTTCATCTCCAAGCCACCTTTTTAGATCGGCGTCCTCAGACTTCATCATGCCTTCAAAAGTGGTGTCTTTGCTCTTCATCTCTTTCTTGAGCTTGACAGACTGATGAACCCAAAAGCCCAGACGCTCGTTTATGCTCCTCAGGTTATTTCTTCTATAGATCCAGTTGCTTTTTCAGCTAAGCCATCGCACTTTCGAGGATTTGACTTTTTCCTCCAATTGTTCTATTTGTGCTTGAAAGGAAGCGAGTTGCTTTGTATCCTCTGCGAATTTCATCTATAGCTATTCCTTTTCTTTCCACAAAATCTCTGACTTCTCTTCATCTTTGGAGCGAGATTGCTTTAGCTTAGTTTGCTCTTTGCAAAACTCAAAATGCGATACACTCACAGTGCATCCCCATTGTCAAGCCATAGCCAAACTCTCCATAAGTGGAGCATGAAGAGCAAAAATGCCCGCTCTCTTAGCCAACTTCTCCAAGTTTACGAGATGGATGACTAGCCCAACTAGAGGAGTCTCTCACAATAGTCCTTCTAGCCATCGAGTCATGACTCAAATCCACCAATGCTCGAGTTTAAGCCTCGTTGATCATGTAAAGGCGATCCTATGGGGAACTAGGAGCAATTTCCCCCGAGGAGGTAGCACCAACATCTAATTTATTCTCCACCTTCCTCTTCTTGGGGAGAGTTGCAGCAAGTATTTATTCCATCAACATAGCTTTTTCCTTAACTTCGAGCACTAGCTCAAAGACTTCAAGAATTAGCATCGGTTCCTTAATTACTATCCCAACTTCCCTCCTGGATTTTCTTGGGAGTTTTGTAAGGGGAATCACATCCTCCTCATTCCTTTCCTCTGCTCTTGTTCCTCATCATCTTTTATCTTTGTTATCCCAAATAGGCTAGGAGGGTTGGGAGCCATAGCATCTCCTTTTGGAATGATAAAAAATATCCCAATATCTTGGCCGCTCAGCAAAAGGTCATCACAACTTTATTGAAAATAGAAAATATGGTACTCAGAAAAATTTTCAAAAGACTACTCAAAAGTATCATCACGAGAACGTGATTAGCACATACCAAATAAGCCTGCCTTCACATATTTGACTATTATAAAGCCTGCAGCATGAAGCATCTCACCATTCAAGATGACATAGCTTTGATGCTCCTTAGGTGTGAGATGTGTAAAGATAGGCGTCCTACCCCTAACAAACAGATGAGGGGCTATGAGAATTTGTCCAAGCACACTTACGACGGACAAAGCAGGAATTCTTCCTCCAATAAGGAAGCTTTTTTTCTAAATTCGATATTATTACTCATAGGGACAAACATTATTGACCCATATTTTAACGCCTTGGCACAAAATGGCGAAAAATGTTCATCGACCAGAACAATTGTCTATTCCTCGAAAATAATATCATCGACATTGCATTGGCTATCAAGTTTGGGTGAATCTATGCAAGGACTAACCCGAAAAAATTGAGAATATCTATTAATTCTTCGTACAATAGAAAGCACAGGCTAAGTCGGAACTAATCTTGATAACAACAAACCTCGTACGAAAGTATAGTGTTCAGAACTTTATCCTCCCAAGGTAGCCAAAGAACATAAGAATCATCAAATACAGTCTTTATGTATCGTGGCAAGGTCTTTCATAGTCAATGATGATTCGGCGGACATCTTTGATGCAAGAAAGTTCTTCCTAATGTTCTCCATAATGGTGGCAATCATCTCTGCCTTCGGGCTAGAATCCTCAAGATTTGTTATAGTTGTAAAAAAAATAGCAAGAAAACAAAAAATGCTAGGGCACGAAACTGAAGCGCTAGGGCAGAGAAGAAAATAAGAAAGTGTGTAGAATTTGAACTGTCTATACCCACTCATATAATCGTAAAGTTAAAAAAGAAAATACATTCTAGAAACGAAAGGACACAATTATTAACAAAAACGTTTAAAAAAATGAAATGTTATCGCGTAATAAATTAGTCAAAGCACAAAATAATTGTGCCCATATCGCAATATCAAAGACTATCTGAGACATCTTCTGTATATAAAGAAGCTTAGAAAATTCAATGTCAAACAATACAACAACAGAATGAAAGAAAAAAAAAAAATACAATCATAGTCCTTTGTTGAGCAACAATTTCATATTTCTAACTCTTTGTGATTATCCTAATTTTTTATTAAACTAATTGCCAACTTATCCTCCAAAGAAAAATCATGCTCATTGGCTCTCTACAAGTCACCTTCCATACATATTACATGGTCTTGTATATTGATTGGTTTATATTCAAGGTGCACCATCTTATCTTTTGCAATCACTAGCTCCTCCCAAATTTCTACAAGCTTCTCGAGCTTCAACGAGCTCCTCATTGATCTTTAACAACTCCTTAGAAGTTGATAACTTGGTACTCAAGCGGTCTGCGTGGACAAAGTCGGCCCCACGAACAGTCATAGAAGAGGTTATAGTATCCACCATCAATGATCTATTTTCAGTAGTGGTTGTTGTTTCCTCCTCCAGAGGAAGTGCTTTAGAGGCAATGGTTTTCACTTCCATGGCACTACTCTCACCTACATCGAGCATCTTCACAACCCTTTCATCTGCAAACATTAAACAAACAAAAAGTATGAGATTGTTGCGGATTGTAAATGTTTCCTTCAGAAGCAAGCTCACCAACAAATAATCAAATCTCTTCAACTGATTGTGTGACTCAAGCTTCCATAACACAATCCTTAAGAACTGTCGCGGGATTCAAAACATGTCTCAGGCCAACACATTTTTCTACAATAAAGCATTGAAGTGTCAAGATCTAAAACTAATTAAAATAAGAAAAGATGTCGAAAATCGAAAAAACTAAGAGAATAGAAAAACTAAATGTATATCTAAAAATGAGTTTCTTTAAGCAAAACAAAAACCTAAATATTAAGTAGGCTTCGTGGGTCTAATGGATCAATCCCACCGACCATGCACTTAATGGTCTGGATATGATCAGGATAATCGTATTCATTTGTCGTACTTTTGGAGAGGACAGACAACAAATTATCTTGCCGCCCAGAAAGGCCCCATGATTACATTGGAAGCTCATCAACATTCATGTAAATTCCTCTGACCGAGCTTGCTAAGCTTTAGCCTTCAAGCATACTCCTCCAGCTGAGCTCACTCAAATTTCCCAAGTTCTTCTTCTAGGCCCACTTTTATTAGTTGAATCCTCTTACTAAGCTCGACAATAAGTACCTAACTGCATCACTGAGCTTGGTGAACAGTTCTATTAGATAGAAATAAAATAACTCCAATCCAATATCATATATGTAACCATTTATTAGTCGTCTGACTCCCACACCAAGGATCTTGTTAATGGAAACTCTACTGAGGCTCCGTATCGTACAATTTATTTCTTAGACCCCTGAGCGGGCACATAGGCTCAATAGTGAATAAATAGAAGGTAAAAAAGGAGAAGAGGAGTAGATCTGACTCTAGCTCTCTCTAACTCTCTCTTTAAAAATCCCTCAACTTTCTTCCACCTCTTTCACCAGGTTTCTCCCGGATTGTATTGATCATATGTCCTAAAAGAATTCAACAAGTTCTGTGAAGTTGGCAACTCTAGTTTAAAGACACAAAAAATAAAATATAAATACCAATATCACGCACATTTCAGAGCTTCTGCACAAACCTGCTACAAATGTCAATCACAGCTTTTTATAAGGATAGCTATAACTGCGATAGTTCTAATAGACAACTATTGAATGAATGAATCATTGAAAATTCATTCAACAGCTGGCAGACTTGGAGCTAAACAAAATTACTGTTATCTGATTTGTACGCGATTGAGGAAAAGAAAAGGATGCAGCTAAGATGGGGCGCATGGGTTACCTAGAGAAGCAGGAGCGGAAGGAAAGGAGGATACAGGTATGCTCTCGAAGCAGGAGTTGAGCTTCTCCGATGGGCTGAGCATCGGTTCCTGCACATACCAAAGATCCTCCACCCGAAGCCCGATCTTCGCCTCCGGGCTCGACAACCCACGAGGCGTCCTTGGACTATCCATCACCGATCACTTGCTACTTGCCGTCGTAGTTATCTCTTTGTATCTCTTGCTCTAGACTTCCGACTCCAGTGAGAGTGAGACCAGAAACGTACACTCTGATTGTTATCCCTGAAAGACAACGATTGACCAGGAAAATGATGACTAAGCAGTCTCTTGAAACGTGCAAAGCTTGCCTCAGGATCTGGCATGGTCGCTCTCACGCGTCACAGTCCCCGAAACTGTTCCGGATAATTATCGCAAAATTATGCACAATTTTATTTTTGTCCGTGTTACTAAAACAAAACATTGCATAATTATTTTTTATTTTTTTTGGGGGGAATTTACATGCATACCAGTTGAAGCTATCTTATTTACATGTCCAACATCAAGAACCTCTTTTTACTATTTTGCCCCTGAAACAGCTTTGCCGCGTCAAAATTACAACCATGTCTACCTCATTTTTTTGTCGTTTACGTCTTAGCAATGTCGAGCGGCTACCTCGCTGCATAGGCCACCACCAACTCTTATTCTACAACTATGAGTTGTCACCCGATGGTCTAGTGTACAAGAAAATGACCAAGTCCTCATAACAACAGAAGAAGGGAAGACTATAAGGTTGTTATGCTCTTGAACACTAGTTGAAGGCAAGAGAGGAGTGGCAGCACTAAAATTGACCCCCTCCTTCTCTGAGTGCATCAGCAGATTGTTCATAAAACGGACTTACTGCACCAATGTCAAGAGCCATAGCAAGGTTAAGATCGGTGGAGACAAACTCAATTGGAAAGGATGCTCTAAGAAGATTCACCTCACTTTTGAGTGAACAAACGGTATCCATAAATCTTTTAATTTTTAAGATGTTAGTCTATTTTATTTGAATTGATTTCAATTTAAAGCTACATCAATTTCTTCTTGTCAGGTGATACAAATGAGAATGAATATGGATAACGAGAATCCATGTGATGGGGAAAAACATGAATATATCTGAGCTAAGGAATGACATATAAATGAAGTTAAGGTTTTTTTAAATTATAGACATTTTCCTTGAATGTTTAAGTCCTATTTAACTATCAAAATCTCGATCGATCTGAATCCATTTCCCTTCTTCTTAATTTAGAGTTTCTCAATTCGCTTTTTTAGGTTTATCCTACAATAATGAATCTTATGTATTCTTAAGGTCTATGAGAATTCTTTATTCGGTGATGGGTAATTGGCATATGTAGTTGACTATTAATACAACGAGAGAAATAGTGGAATTTTTAAGTATAAAAATTTATGTAAATAAGTATAATATTTGGTGTATGGATTTGAGATTTATGATAGAGATGTGCATTTTTGTATATCTTTCATTTTGCATTTTGCAGGTGCCTTCCCCCTTCTTTGTTGTCTCATTTGTCCCCATATTAATTATTTACCTGCTTTGTAATTAACATCTACTTCACTTTGTTTTTTATTTTTATTTTTATTTATTTTTTTGTTCAAAAAGGTTATTTAGTAGAGACTTATGAGTGATCTATGTAAGAAGCATCTTAGAAGTTATTTTCTTAGTTGTCTTGCTTAAGATGTCTCCTAAGGAGAAAAAACAATGATTAAAAAAAGCATAAGTGTTGACAGTCTTCAGTTTAAAAGTTAAGCTAGTGCCTATCCAAAAGAAAAAAAGCAAAAGCCTTTCTATGTCATGTCTCAAGGGAAAGCATGCATCTCGCGCTGAGGATCATGAAAGTAATGCACTCGATCCATGAATAAACTCATAGACTTGCGGAACAGTCCACCCACTCGTGACTATCCAGCTAATGCCAATACATGTTGAATCAAAGAATTTTAGTTTCCTAAATCTGCAAAACTAGAAAAAGATCTTATGGTTGGCCATTCCACCTTTATAAAATGGAATTAGCTTCTCAAGGATTTATCATAAAGAGAATTGATTATATCCATCATCAAGGGGAAGTTCTAGACTCAACTCAAGAATTAGTCAGGGCACAACCAAAGGTGGTGAGAATACTCCTCTCATATCTCCCAAAGGCAGATATGTGATTCATTGGGGAAATTCCAATCATTAAAATTCCACTATACTAAGAACTCAAAAAGGGGTTGTGTTTTGGTTTCCCTTACACATCCAATGGTGGCTTAACTAGAAAAATTAAGATGAGTGAATGACTTCCTCTCAAGTATCCTAGAAGTGAGTACATGACTCGCACTGAGGAATACATCAACACAACATCTTGGCTTTCGGCTTTATTTTGAAAACTAGCTAAAACTTTGAGTTTTAGTAACTGGGACACAACCATACTAGCTAAACCTAGATAAAAGGAGTGCTAATCTCCTTCTCATATGTTGATAAGATTGGATATGTGCGATAGAGGGTGCATTTACCACAATGCAAGTTAATATCTTCACTTTCTATATTCCCTAAAAATTAAGGCATGACTCCTTTTGGGTAATATACAATTTCACCTTCCCTCAAAAACGGAAGTAATTACAAGTTTTGGTTAGCCATACCAGGATAAAAGATAAACAAAAAATCATTGTGGAGGGGAGTTGCAAATCTTCCTCCCATTTCTCCCATGTCACAACGTACAACTTGTTGAGGTGAATCCTTGCCACTTTGAACTCTGCTATAAAGTGAACTCAAAAAAGAGTTGGGTTTTGGTATCCTAGACCATGTTGAATTTGCTATACTAAGAAAATAAGAGTCTGGATCTTCCTCTCATATGTTTGAAAGAGTGGATATGCGCGATTAAGGAAATGTTATCCATCTTCCCTCGCCTAGTGTCTTATCTAGCAATGTTGAATGATTTTTGCCTCTATATTCAACTTTTACGCTATATTTGATGATTTTTTGTGTGCTTATAAGGGTTTCCTGGTTCTTTTGCTCTTAAGTTTTCTAGTTGTCAACTCTTGCTGCATATATTTACTATTCCATTGGTTTATGACTGTACGAGTTGCTCTTTCGTTGTTTTGGAATTTAAGTTGTCTTATTTCTTTCATGATGGAAAGGTCATCTTATTTAGAGGTGCTATAAGGGGCTAACACCAACTTTAAGCATTGTAATCAATCATTTAAACCTAATGTTGCTCAAATCTTTTTTCTCAAACATTTTTATGAACGATTAGATGTTGTTGAAAATTTTGGTTTTATTAAAAAAGTAGTAAGGAAAAATGGAAAAATAGCATTATTTTTCATTTATAATGATTCAATTCTGCTGGCTTATCCATTCAAATTCACTTTGGTGGGAAAGTTCACTTATTCACATCCAGAAACAGATGTTATTCAAAAAATTTTATTTGATTTGAAACTTGAAGGAGATTGGAGTGTTGGATTAATATATGGTAGACATCATTATAAAGCTTGAAAAGGAAATAGATTATAGTATGGTTTTCTCTAGGAAAACTTTTTATATAGAAGGGATATCCATAAAAATTCTTAAATGGACAGTGGATTTCAATCCTTCAAAAGAGCTTTCTATAGTTCCAATTTGGATTAGATTTTTTGGATTAAAATTACATTATTTTAATAATAATGAGTTGTATTGTCTGGGGGCATATATGGAAAGCCCATGAAGGCGGATATGGCCACCCACAATCTGTCTAGGCCCTCCATGGTAAAGATGATGTTGGAGAGGGATAACATCTCACCATTTCCTAAATCTATTTGGTTGGGGTCACCAAATTTTGCGTATTGGCAAGCTACTGAGATTGAATTTCTTCTGCATTACTATTCAAAGTGTAGAATGTTTGGTCACACTCTTGACCACTATTTTATGGCTCATCCTGAGCTTAAAAAGGATAGAAGGGTTGGCAAAAAAGAATTCAGGAGAGCTCTCATAATGCTGATGCTATCACAATTAATGATGGAATGGGGATTCTGGTTGAGAATTTGAATAATGAGAATGAAGTGGGGGAAGTGAATGCTTTGGCTGCTTCTCCTTCTCAAACATTTGGTAAGACTTTGGAAGTTGGTACTATGCAAGTTAAGGTTGCTGGGGAGATCTCACCTATTAGACTGATCCAAACAAAACTCAACTTTAAGATACAAAAAACACTAAATTCAAATTTTATAATTGACAAGAAAGGAAAAGGGACAGTGGGATTCACAACATTTGTTGGTCCTTCTAATGATTATATAGAGGCAAATAAGGAGAGTGGTGTTCCTGAAAATCTAGTAGAGTACTCAACTTATTGTGAAGTAGTGGATAATTCATTTGGCCTTTTGATTTTGTATGCTAAGGATGTGGCCTTAGCTCAGGTTGCTTTAGAGGAAGAGTGGCTAGTTCAAAAAAGTAGAAAGGCAAGAGTAAAGGGGGTTCGAGAAAACATAAGCATTTTACTTATAAAGAAATTGGTGCACAACATACTTTAAATTCCAATTCCTTTGGGAGATCTAATCTCACTCTCCCTAAAAGACCAGGGGATCTATAAAATATTCTTGAAATGATGTATAAGGTTCTTATTTGGAATGTGAGGGGTATTGCTAATTCTGATACCTCCAATAGAATAGAAAATATTATCAGGCATAATAAGCTTTCCTTTATTGTGTTATTTGGACCCTTGGTTAATGCTTAAAATAATTAAAGATCTGAGAAGAATTTGCTACTTTAACTTTGCTACCAACACTAATAATAAAATTTGGATGTTGTGGGAAAAAATAGTTGTCGACCTCACTTTTGGTTGAGGTCTAGAAACTTCTTTAGTAGCATAGGTCTAGCCATAGGACTTTCCTATTGACTAGTCTTAGAAAACTAGAAAAGGTACCCTCACCATTAGAAACTCAAAACTCTTTTCTTTACTCGACTTGAAGTTCCACATATTGGTCCTAACCTCTAATATTTAGAAGGTAAGATCATTATGGGGAAGCTCAAGAAGAGTTCCTATAGGGTTACTTGGCCTTAGAATTGACTCTGGGTGTTGACTAAGGTACATCGGAACTAAGGTACACTATACCCACACCATATCTTCACAATACTATTGACCTCACTTTTGGTTGAGGTCTAGAAACTTCTTTAGTAGCCTAGGTCTAGCCATAGGACTTTCCTATTGACTAGTCTTAGAAAACTAGAAAAGGTATCCTCACCATTA